AAGGTATATAAAAATAAGCTGCTTAAAATGTTCATCTTTCTTATGGAGAGAGCCATTAAAACAGAAATTTTGAATGGAAAAGAGATTTTATAAATAAACAGTACAAAACTATTGCAGTAATGTAGGAAATATACATATTTAGACACATTTATGTTAACTTATAATTTAATAATACTAAATATTTAACACTTCAATATACTAGACAATTTTTTATTTAATTATAGTATGTGTGTGTGTGTGCTCAGTATGTGTCTGACCTTTTGTGGCCCCATGAACTGTGCCCCGCCAGGCTCCTCTGTCCATCAGATTGTCCTGGCAAAGATACTGGAGCGGGTTGACATTTCCTTCTCCAGGGGATCTTCCCAACCCAGGGATTGAACCCACATATCTTACGTATTCTGCATTGGAGGGCAAATTGTTTACCACTGTACCTCCTGTAGTATCTGCTGCTAATACTGTATGGGAATTCATGTGGTGTTGGTGAAGGATGAATTTACACAATTTTTCTGCAAATGTAATTTGGCAATGTTTATCAAAATTCTTTTAAAATGTTTACATTCTCTGATCCAGCAATACCACTTCTCAGATCAGAATCAGAATGTAATTGCCATTACTGTTCACAAAGTACTAACTAGTTCAGTAGAAAAATAATATATAAAACTAAGTGAGTTTGATGGTGAGGAAATAAAAATGAAAAATATAACCTTTACAAATGCTAGATATAATGCTTTAGAAAACAGAGTACAAAACCATAAATGGAAGAAAAATAAGGCTTGAATTTAATGAAAAAGTAATAACATTTAAAAATATTAAAATCTTTCAAAATACTGAAAATAATATTTTTAATGAGAAATAGCATTAACAAAATTTAGTAGGTCCTATATCAGAAAACTATACAATTTACTAAAAGACACTAAAAACTTAAATAATTGAAGAGTCATGCCATGATCCTGGAAAATGCACTGTATAAAAGGAAAAATGAAAATGAAAGTCATGTCCAACTCTTTGCAACTCCATGGACTGTAGCCCACCAGGCTCCCCTGTCCATGAGAGTTTCCAGGCAAGAATATTGGAGTGGGTTGGCATTTTGCATTTCCTCTCCTCCAGGGGGTCTTCCTGACCTAAAGAGTGAACCTGGGTCTCCTGCATAGCAGGCAGATTCTTTACCAACTGAGTCACCAGGGAAGCCCATATAAAAGAAATCTACCTGTAAATCAGTAAAATTCCAATAAGCAATCTGTTGTATTTTTGTTTCTTTCAAAAATATTCTGACCTGAGACTTCTTCTCCAAGACAGCAAAGCGATTTTTTAAAAACTACAGTATTAGCATAGGTTTGCATATATATAGATCCCTCACATAAAATAGACAAGAAGATGCAGAAACACACAAAATAGGTAGACATTAAGTTTATGGTAAGTGACAAAAATATTGATGAAAGAAATAATGTGGGATACAACTGTCTGTCACAGAAGAATTAAAGTCATATTGTATGCTTCAGCCTCAAATCACAGACCAAAATACATTTTAGATAGATTAAAATAAAACAATAAAAGTGTTAGATGATAACAGAAATCCTTATGTGTATAATATTATCATGGCAAAAGCATTTCAAATCAGGATCCACAAGCCAGACATCATAATACAAAACTTCAATAGATTTGATTACCTAAAATTGTAAGATATATCTATGGATGAAAAGACCATAAAATGAAGGTATATAAAAATAAGCTGCTTAAAATGTTCATCTTTCTTATGGAGAGAGCCATTAAAACAGAAATTTTGAATGGAAAAGAGATTTCATAAATAAACAGTACAAAACTATTACAGTAATGTAGGAAATATACATATTTAGACACATTTATGTTAACTTATAATTTAATAATACTAAATATTTAACACTTCAATATACTAGACAATTTATTTAATTATAGTATGTGTGTGTGTGTGCTCAGTATGTGTCTGACCTTTTGTGGCCCCATGAACTGTGCCCCGCCAGGCTCCTCTGTCCATCAGATTGTCCTGGCAAAGATACTGGAGCGGGTTGACATTTCCTTCTCCAGGGGATCTTCCCAACCCAGGGATTGAACCCACATATCTTACGTATTCTGCATTGGCGGGCAAATTGTTTACCACTGTACCTCCTGTAGTATCTGCTGCTAATACTGTATGGGAATTCATGTGGTGTTGGTGAAGGATGAATTTACACAATTTTTCTGCAAATGTAATTTGGCAATGTTTATCAAAATTCTTTTAAAATGTTTACATTCTCTGATCCAGCAATACCACTTCTCAGAGCTTACCTTCAGGAAAGAAGACAAGTACAGATGCACTAGCAAGAGTGATTTCTCAGCTCCCCAAAAGGTGCTCAGTTCTGAGAGATATTCAGCAAATAAAAGGGACCTAATTTATGACTATTTGTATTTGGGAATTTGAGCAGGAGGTGGAATTTGAAACTAATTCTGATGTATCTAAGCTAGGAATAGGGTATTCAGAGGCATGGCAGATTTATTTTTTGCTCCTGTATAATAGAAAGCTAAATTGACAAACAGCTGTTGTAAGAATTTTACTTTTTTTTAATGTTCAGTGTTTGAAAATAAAGCTTTCCCTTTTCCCCTCAAGCAGTCTGGTGATGCCTGTATTATTAGTTGGGCAACAATTTTCTTCCAAGTGGAGATTCAGTGACTTATGGCCTGACTTATTCTTGTGGTTCTCATATTTTCAACTTGTACCTCCTGCTATCACTCTGGATGGTTACATGTGGGAGACTTTTATTCGCTGGGCCTTCTTTCACCTATCTAGAACACAAATCGTATGGTTAACATGCAACTGCCAGTGAAGTTGGTAAATGTCTAGCTCTGTACACTGAAAAATAAAGGAAGCAGATTTGTTATCAGCTGGAAATCTCTGCCCATAATAGCCTTCTGATCACCAAATATTTTTTACCTTCTTTTTCTCACATATACCATTGCCCTACCCTGTCCAAGAGATAACCTGGAGTCCCATCAAACTAGTGTACCCAATTCAATGATCAAGGTCCTCAAATATGCACAATTATCTTCATCGTCTCCGGATGCATTAGCTCAGGGATAAATGAACCAAAACACATTTCAGTGCTCTTTTCCACCCCATGCACAAAATACAGTGATAGAAAGAGTCAGGAATGTGCTGAGTTTACTCACTCAGTTGTGTCTGACTGCAACCCCATGGACTGTAGCCCACCAGGCTCCTCTGTCCATGAGGATTCTCCAGGCAAGAATACTGGAGTGGGTTGCCATGCCCTCCTGCAGGGGAACTTTCCGACCCAGGGATCAAACAGGGGTCTCCTGCATTGCAGGCGAATTCTTTACCAGCTGAGCTACCAGGAAAGCTCCAGGAAAAACCTCCTAAATATAAATGTTCTCTTTTGGAAATAAGGAACAATGAGAAACACCGAGTAGTCACTGATCCATAATAATTGTGGAAATATTTCAGACTGGCATGAAAAGTTCCCTTTGCCTTGGCAACAGTTATAGTCCCTAAAGAAACTAGCTTCTCTTCTGATCATTCTTTTTGCCTTCTTCCAAGTCTATCTCACACAAGTTCAGCCTTGTCAGTCATGCTGTGTGGCCACATTGGAAGTGGGTGTTTGGTCATATGCTCTCATGGGGACTACACAGGTCTTATAGGCCACTTCGTGTTTTCACCATGTTTGGGAGTCTAGAAGTTTTTGATGTTTCAATTATCAGACTTTTCTTTCTTTTTTATTTCTTTTCTAAGTATGTGCTTCTTTGGCACAGTAGTTCCATTAAAAACAAAATAGACTCCTAATCTATTTCTCAGATTCTTGTACCTGTAACCATATTTCAAGACTTTTTGAAAATGGAATTGCCAGACTTAATTTATTTATTTCCTATCTCCCTCTGAAACTCTCTTTTAGATTTTAGACTGTACACAGCTCTCATGAAGCTATGCACACAATGGACCCTGGATGGTAGGCAGTATACTCAATCTGACTTTTGCAACAGAGCTGAGCCTTAGTATATTTTGTTGCTCAAAACTTCATTTAGTTTTATCTCTTATTATGCAACTTTTATAAATAGTTGATTTTCCAAACTTTTAAGCACTCACATCTGAGCTTCCTTTGATCTTTTTATTTCTGCTTGAAAACTGGCCATACTCTACTAGGCTCAGCTCTTTCCTATAATATCCTAACAAAAGCAGAACATAAAAGTATATCAATAATCTAATCTTTCCAACCACTTCCCTTAAAGCTATGAGTGCAACAGACATTTAACCCTCAATGTTGAGTATTCATCTTCCTCCTTCAATCGATAATACAACACAGCTTATAACACCCTCCTCTCCTTAAAAAATGATCTTTCCTTTAATCAATTACTGTTTGCACATCAGGATCTCTTCCTATCCCTCTTTTCTCTCCTTCTCAATCTACTCTGCTGGAAGCAACTTCTGTCAGACTTTAAATATGGGAACTTTTCAGGTCTCAATTTTCAGACTTTTTCTCCTCTCTATCTAGACTCTCTCCCTTAGAGAGTTCATCAGTTTCCTCAGCTTTAAATAACATTTGTATAATGTATTTGTATAAAATAATAATATTTGTATAATTTGTATAATATTTATATTTGTATAATTGTTATAATCTCTAATCCCAGCCTTTCCTATGCATAATTGGATTTTTAAATGATATAGTTGTGTTTGTCACATTTAAAAATACACACACTTTCAGGTGGAGAGGAGGAGAAAGAAAAGGCATATAACTATAGAAAATCATATATGTGTACTTGTTTACTGTCTCTCCCTTAAAATGTAAACTCAGTGTCAATGGTGATTCATGCGTCAAATTTTATATGCTCAATATCTGTTGACTAGATGATTGGTGTAATACAGGCTTAAAAAAACTTTTTTAACGTGCTACTTTCCAAAACAACTCATTCTCACGCAGATATGTACTCCATGTCTAAAATCACACTAACTAAAACAATATTTTTTCTCTTTTTTCAAGATCCCAATGCTCTGGCTGGCCAGACTGGCCCTGATCATGCTCTAATAGGAGGAATTGTGGCTGTAGTTGTATTTGTCACTCTATGTTCTATATTTTTGCTTGGACGATATCTGGCAAGACATAAAGGTAGGTTATATATAATAAGGCATTCTTAAATTTGGCAAAAAAAATTCTAAAGACCAGCTTCATCATGAAATCTTATTCTGTGTGTGTGTGTGTGTGTGTGTGTGTGTGCGTGTGTTTTGTGTGATGAGTGTTGAAACAGAGAGATCTGAATACTAAGTTATTTCAGAGAATTCTTAACTATTTTACTCAACATTAAAGTTGGATTGGCTTAGCAAAATAATACTTGGCCAATAGCAAGAAGTCACAGAGTGAATCATTGGTTCAGGAAAAAAAAAAAATATATATATATATATATATACATATATACACATATATATATATATACATGGGAGCTAGTTTGTAGTATATCTTTAGGACTGAAATTCAACTCTAATAGTAATCATTTGGTAATACTTCTGTTTGTAAGTTTATGGACACATATGTGGTATATTAATGAGGAAAATATGTGATTTTTTTGCAATGGGTTAGGTAGAAACTATTGGTATAATCTACTTTTAAATGGAGTTACCAAAATGTGTGTTGACACATTTGATGTGATCATTATCAACATCTGAACAAAGGGCCCTGATTGCTACAGCTGAGTGGATCACATGGTCTGTAGCCATCATTAAATAAATCAAAGTACTCATTACCCATGCCAGTTTGGCAGTTGCCTCTAGTTAACCTGGACACAGCTCCATCTGCAACATACACCTGAAAACCGGAAGAAAGTGTACAGCTTTAGAAGAGTGAACTGTATGGTTTCTTACACCTCAGAATATGTTTCAACATGTAAGAAATCTGGTGTAAGTTTCTTCCTAAATGAATGTGACTTCAATACTGGCTATTTTACCACTCTGACATAACTAACATGGTTTTCTTCCAACACCCACAGGAACATATTTAACAAATGAAGCTAAAGGAGCGGAAGATGCCCCAGATGCTGACACAGCCATTATCAATGCTGAGGGCAGCCAAGTCAATGCTGAAGAAAAAAAAGAATATTTCATTTAAAATGCAGGCCAAGATTCTGAATTTTATGTACCAGGCTGGCTGCTGGAGAAAACTGGCTATCATCTTTCAGAATTCATTTCTACCATCTTCTGCTACCTTTATTAACTTCCATATTGTACTGCTGTCTGTAGCCAGTGTATGCCAACAATCAGCTGTCGAAAGCATCATTCTTTAATTACTGTACCATCCATAATGCAGGACATTTATTACCGCCTAAATTCCACACCATGCTCTTTTAACATACAGTGCTTGAATATACAGCCTTAACAATGTTAATCATCTCCTTGGATCATGATATTGAATTGTTTTTGTACATTGAAAAAAAAAAAGTATGCGGAGCTTCCCCCACCCCCTCATTTTTGGCTCCCTTTAAATCAAAGTTCTTGTAAACCTACCACTGGACAGCTTTCACAAGGAACAGGATTAGGTAAAGACATAACATGCTTAAGTTCAATTCAGATGTGAGAGGTTTATGATGTTTTCTACATGTCTATCTTCAAAGACATGTTTTGGAAGCATATGCCCTAAAAAACACAAACTGAAATAAACTACTGTAGAATAGATTCTGGAATATTTGAGATTATACTGATAAAGCTGTATCAATTTGCTATTTAAAAATATAGTATTTGATACAGGAGCCATGAATATGGATTACAGTCATGACATGCTGTCTTATATAATTATATAGATCCTACCATTTAGCTTCATCTACCAATAAATTGTTACAAATATTTTACCATTTTGGGAATCACAAAGACTTCATTCATTTCTCTAATTTGATTCTGTAATTTATTTGCTCCATAAAGACTCACCTGCCTAAACAAAATTGAAATATCCATAGGGCACAATTTTGAAACATTTTAGTATCTGTATATAGTGCATATAATAAATCCAATTAAACATTATTTGATACATATTTAACTTTTTTGGCTGTAGGTAATCAGTCATGAGTAAGCATTTTCTAATGTCCATTATATCCCTTTAGATATTACTTAAACCAATATTATAAGTAGATAACATGTATTAGTATTTTTGTCTGTATGTCCTAGCACTGTTCAACAACAAATTTTTCTAGTTCTTGTTAATTTTTGTTATACAATGGAAGCACAATGTTATAAGGAAAGGTAATTTTAAGCTAACAACCAGTGCACAGCCTCAGGTTTTAAATTACAACCACAGTTGAATAATAATCTAAAATAAACTCTTAGTTTGCTAAAAATTTACAAATTTTAATTTGGCAGTTCCAGAGCTGCTTACCTATGTTGGTTTGCCAAAAAGAAGTGTTTGAGATATGTTTTCTGTATAAATGAACTAATTCTTTATATTAAATTCCTGTCTATGCATTTTGTGAGGTATAAACATATGAAACAGTGAGTGATAGAGAATTTCTGCCATAATTTTAACTCCAAGGTGAAAGTCTCTTTCTCTGGATTATTTCTGAAATTTTGATGTATTTAACCATTAAGAAATGCTGTATTCTTAAATATGACACAGAGTCAATCTGAAGTCATATTATTTCTCCTAGTAAAAGACAATAATGCTAGATTAGTTGTCATTAGATCTATTGATACTCTATGCTAAAGATTAAAAATCCAGTTAGATAAAAATTATTTTCCCATTGACAAGAATTGCACCTTTAGGAAGAAAAAGAATATGACAATATGGTAGCTATACTTGTGATGTCTGAAAGCATGATGGCCTATGGTTTTAAGAATAATATCTTGGAATTTATTTTTGGGAAATGAGAATGGTTGAGTATGACATCATGTATTAATATCAAATGAAAGACAAGGGTGCTGTATCTTAGATTATTTATCAGAAAAGTATAAATCTTTTAAGGACAACGTTAGACTTTTAATTTTTTTGTTTGTTGAAGCATTTATCTTGTTGATTTCTTACAAAAGAAAAAGGACGATGTCAGTCAAGCAGCACTTTTTCAGAATATACAGAACATAAATAATATGATGTGGTTGAGTGTTAACATAATAAATCATATACAGTATGACAATTTTAAGGAAATAAGTCTGCATTGATGTGATTGCATGCTTGTTTTTACAGTTCACTCCATACCATCTGTGGAAAAAATGCAATAATATGTTAATATAGTATGGTAGTTTGAGAGAATCCGGTAGGTGCTACTAGACACATTGAAACTAGAATAGGTTTATAAACTGTTCATATCTTTCAATGCATAATCTTTAGAAAGACTCCACAAAGCAAAATTCATTCTGTTAGTACAAAATGGAAAGGTTCTTATTACAGGAGTAAGTTGTATAAACTGCATCATCAATTACTATTTAAAGCCTAATTTCAGGATGCATTTACAAAATTGCTACTCTCCATCGATGCTGTATTTACATCCCTCTTCATTTCATCTGTATTCTACTTGGCTCCAACTGCTAAACTGTTGCCTAAATAACTCAATCATTATTTATAGCACTATAAAATTAGAAATCCAAAATTGGTTACAATTCAAGACTTTTGACTCTTTTAACCCTTGACAGTAATATAAAAACTCATTGGAAGCCTGTAAAAGAAACTAACTGGTGTATTATGATTTGTGAGCTCTAATCAAATATTTTGACAGCTAAAATAGATATGAATTAGATATCATTTCAGTTACTGAAAGTAAATAGCAATGGAGTTATATTTTCCTATCTTAAACAAATTTATTTGATTTCCACCAATGAAAGAAATTGTAAAAATTCTGTTCATTTCTATAAAAATCAGAAAAAATGAAATAAATATATAAATGAACCATTTCAATTGCCATGACTGAAATGTGCACATTTTATGCCCAGAGAGCCAAATTCGGTCATTGCTTAGTGGGCACCATAGCCACAGAACATAATGAAAGCAGTGCGCACAGACACACCCCCCAGTAGAATATGGAACATTATTCTTTACCCAAAGTAGCTATTCTCTGCCAGCGTACTGTTTACAGTGTAAATTGTCCTCCATCAAAAAAGTGTAAACAGCATTCTTTTTTTTTTTTTTGGTTTCCATATTTGAATGTCCTAGATAAAACAATTATCAAAATTAGGGAGAAAAGGAAAGTTTGTGAGTGAAAGAGCAAAGATAGACAGCATGAACATAGTCGTGTGTGTGTGTGTGTGTGTGTGTGTGTGTGAGTGTGTATGAGAGAGAGAAAGAGATTTCAACTTGTTTTCTTTTACCAGAGAATCCAAGAAGCAGTTTAAGGAACCTGATATTGAAGTTTAATCTAGAAACTGGATGATCTCATGTTGATACAAGATGTTTAATCTTGCATTGAAACCCCACAATTAAAGAAACAAATAGAGAAAGAAAACTAACTTTCCTAAATATGGCAAAGAAGCTAACACCTCATTTATTTTTATTTCTTTGTAAAAATATAAATATCTCAATTAAAAGGACAGGCTCACTTGTAATTATGTACTCATGATTGTAATGACATTGAGATTCCATATAGGCCCATGTACAGCAGCTGTTTGGTGGTGATGGTTCTTCCATGTAACATAGCAGTTATCGTGTAATTTAGTGCCACTTATTGCAAAGTGTTACCAAGGGGAACATCTAAAAGACTTTTTTGGATATAAGGATAATTGAATTATAAGTATGAAATTTCATGTTCCTTTTTTTAAATGTGGAGAAACTGCAGAACCTCATGTCTTACTGCAAATTCCCCATCACATGGCTAATGACTTAGCGCCCTCTAAAAATGCCCACTGCAATCCCCCTTTGCACATGGTGGTCTGTGATGAATATACAAAACAAAGCAAACAGAACACAACTGGCAACTACAGAAGAGGAAATAAAACACCTAATGAGAAATAGGGAGTAATGCTTTTTATTAAGTGGCACAAAAGACACACAAAAACTATGCAAATATAGGTAACTACCGTGTACGTACATGTAAGTATCTTGTACTGGCTGTGTATGGATGTTGGAAACCCATGTAATTATAATATGCATTTTGAATATTGGGAAAGAGGAAATCTTAGTGTAGATAATAGAACTTGTTTTGAAATATACACTGGCAATATTGAAATACACTCAGTGCAATATCTGCAATTCTATTGCTGGATACTTCATGCAAAGGGATTTTAAAGAACTCTTCAACAAGATCTAAGAGGTTGCTAATCTTCACCTCCCACGTATTAAACCATTAGTTAAAAATACAACTGACATAACAACACATTAAGCTTTTCTTGCTTAATCATTAACATTACACAATACAATTATCTGGCCTAGTTTTTAGTGTTACTGGAGAGAAAGACATAACCTGAGTTTTCAACTTCGATTCAGAGCTAATTGAATTTGGAGTTCTTATACTTTCTTTGAAGTGTATGTATGTTTTAATGGGTTGTGGAACTTTTATTACAAGGACAAATCTACTCAAAAAACATATGTTACCTTTAATAGTTAGAGTCACTATAGTTTAATGGAAATTTCTTATGATAATTTTATTCTTCAATTCATTTTTCTCTTTCTCTCTCTATTTCAATCCAAACATGCCCTTTGCACTTCACTTATACCCTTCCAAAGGCAATGGATTGAAGGTAGCAAGATTATAAAGAGAGCTAAAGGGGACAACATGTAAAAATGGGTTCTAAACTCATCAGCATTTTTATGTATTGAGATTATTAATATTGAATGCAATATTATTGGATAGAGCTGGTAAGTTCTCTGCCATGCATACTTACAATAATCCTTCTACCTCTCACTTTTAACATGGGCTATGATACTTCGATATAAATAGAAGAAATAATTATTTACAAGATATCCCAGGAAGCACTCTTTTGGGACTATCCTAACAGTCCACTCCCCACCCCCTGGGACATCTCAAAAGCCAACTTTACTTTTAGTGTAACTCAGTGGTGTATGGATCTGCATTTGTTTTCCTTTTTCTGTCATTAACTTTTCCTATAGGCAAACTATAATAACTTTAAAAGGATAGTTCCTCTCATTCCTATTTACTATTTCAATGTGATATAATTGTGCTGATTAAAAAAATTAAATGGCAACACTTTGCAATCCAACTTGACATTTCATTTACTGTTTAGAATGAAACAATTTCTTATAAATTAATACTATGCTTTTAAGTAAAAATCATATATGTATTTTTATTTTCCCAAGAAGTGTTATTCTGTAAGATAAATATTTAAGTATTTAAATCTGCCTCATTATTAACAAATAATCCCAGAATGAGTGCAAAGTATTGCCACAAATACCCACTTTATTTTGCCTGCATAGAAACAGTATGAATTCTTCAAATCATATAATTTAATGATTCTAAAAGGAAATGGCTTTTAAAAGCAGATTTTTCTTTAGGAAAAAAATGATACAAAAATTATCTCAAAGTATGATGCTTAAAGTAAGATTTTTCTATGTTATGTGGTTATGTTATAGATAATATTTGCTGTATTTTCTACCATCATATATATATATATGTATGTACATATATATGTACATACATATATATATATATATATTTCACAAGAAATGTATGGTTATTTTGGAGAGAATGGGCCCAAATGTGAAAACGATGTAAAGCAAAACCACTATTTTCCCCTATGAATATACTGTATATTTCAAAAGAAGAAACTTAAAAGATATTTGAAGATTGCAGGGGCAAAAGAAAAACCTACCAGGGCTCAGCACTTAAGCACTTTTCCCACATCCAGGGTCGGAACAGCAGTGATTCCTTCATGAACTTTTAAGTGCGGTATGAAATGCCACATTACACTTCTCTTACACACAGTACTGTCAAACCTCAAATGTTTTCTTTCTTCAGATACTTTTCCTTGTACATGAAACTAGTAGACACTTTCTCTTTATATTTGCTGATGGTGAAAGTTATATGCAATAAAATATTTGATGGTTGAAAGTAGTATTCACCAGTTGGTTAAAAAAACTATGAAATGTAAACTGAATTGTTATCTCTTTATCCTTTTTGCTTTTCTCTGTGTTTCTAATGTATGGAATGAGTCTCATAAATAGAAAAATAAGTTAGAAAATTTTCAAAACTAGTTCTCTTTCTCCTAACAAGTGTATAAAACTAATCTCTTGATGAATTTATTTAACTGTACCTACTGTACTTGTTGTAGATTCAATGATGGAGTTAAGTAGTAACCCAAGGGTTTATGAGTTCGCAATTACTGACATGTTTATTTTCATATTCTGTTCACATCAATATTTGTGAATTGTTTGTTTAGCTTTTCATTCAACCAAAAAAATATTCCCTCAACAAAGCTCCATTTTTATCATAAATATTTCAACATAACTAACATCAGACAAGTCTGCCATGTTAAAAAGAATTTAAAGACTTATCTCTGAAAATGGTACCCAGAAACGCGGGTGTTCCCAGTAACGTAGCTTCAAAAATAAAATGTTCTATTTATGTGACATGAAATTCATAGCTTTTGGAAGGGTATATTTATGACAGCATAAAAATAAATTCTGTGCTGTAAAGAAGATGCACTGAAATAAAACATATTGCACAGAAGATAGAGAAACACAATTATTGAATCTACTGTTATCATTAACATTTTCAAAAACCAAAATGCATATTGTAATATTAGGTACATGACACTTGCATGTTGATATGCCTATATACTTACAAGTATTTAAAGTGTACTCAGTGGCGCTTAAAACATGTCATGTACTACTTTTATAAACATTCTTACAGGGTTCCCATTTGCACCTCATCTTTCAGTAAAGTCTTGTCAGAAAAAAACTGTCTAATACATATGGAAAAATAAAATTTGAATTTTAGTTATCTGTTGGACATTACTGAATTGTCTATTCATTTAGTTCATTTTCTTAGGCTTGTTAACAGAAAGGTGGAAATTTCTTTTCTCCCACTGACAGATTATAAAATATACCACAAAACATATTCCTTTTTGCCAAGACATTATTTTGCATACCTTTTTTCAACTGCATACGTTATCCATTCATTTTATACTTCTTCAGTGATGCCCATTTTGTTTGTAAGTTTCTAAGTGGAAGTTTTAAAAAGTTAAGCAGTAGTCAAATAAATGTTATATTATTTGTACAACATATAATTGTTACTCTTTGGAATGTGTGAACCTTGTAACATGCTGACTAAGGGTTAAAAAAATGTTGCCGACTTAAGGAAATTTGCTTGAGATTGCCAAAATTCCAATATTCTGTAAAGATAATTTTACAATCACTTCCATGTGTTTACTAATGTTGACTAGGAACAGAAGCAAAAATACTTACACCCTTTTAATTTTCACACTCTAACCAGTATTATATATTTCAACTACCTAAGATAATGCAATTAATAGCATATTCATCCTAAACTTATGCCAATAAGAATTTGAGATAAGCTTTTAAATTTATGGAAGATTTTCTTTGTGTCTTTGGAAGTTCACTTACCATAAGGTATTTTATAATCTACTTTAAATAACAGATTTTGTTATACAGGGTAAGCCAAAGGCTGTACAAGAATTAGTGTCTGGGTCTGATATTTGTGTTAGACCATGAAATATTCCATTAAAATTTATCTGTAAATACAAGGCAAGATTTTGTATCTGGTTTATTTTATGAAATAACATTTCCTTATTTTAATTAATTTATCCTAGCAAAAGAAGCCCTGTGATACATGTTAGCAAATTTGATACTGTGTGTAAAAGCAGGTGCAGCACCACAAGAAAATGACATCTGAAATAGTACATTCATAGATGCAATTCTTTATTTCTTTTAAAGTTACCCAAAATGCCTACTTTTCTTCAGCTCTACCACCAAATGCATATATGACATCCACATTTCCAGATAAATCAATTCCATGTTTTCATTATAGCAAGTGTTATTTCAGTCAAAATATTCTTTGGTATTCTTTAAATCAAGGGAAGATACTGATACACTTTAATTAGTAATTACATGGCAGTTTTAGGCTTTGAGGGGGATTTTCATAATGTGATAATCCCCAGATGATGCTAAAAATAAGTGTACATTCTATTAAAACAAGAATTTCCAGGAAATAGTTTTAAAAGATTTTCAAACCATACTGTTTTGTGAAATTTAATAATTAAATTTTCCTTCCAAGTAATGACCACTTTTTTTGCTTTGGCATTGCTATGTTGGAGAAAGAAGTGGGAAAATTCTAATCAAAAAAGTAATTATAAAAGGTCTTATGATTTAATCAAACTAAAAAACAAGTAGCCTATTTTTTAATCGTTGTTCATAGTCTCAAATTCAATAGGTATTTCTATGGAAGTTTTCTATTTGACTTTTTAATAGGTCTGATTAATATTAAATCTTTACTATGCTAGAAAATGTAGGAAATTAACTCATCTTCTGAAGAGTGTCTGTAAGAAAGACCAGAGTCAATACATTATTTAAAAAACCTTAAAACATGTGCCTTGTATATACTTTTAATACTTTAATTCATTTTGTTTTTAGTAAACTGGATTCTTACACAGTTGGAGGGTGCATATATTATGACACATGGAAGATTTAGGGAGTACATATTCAGGTAGATTCGAGTTGGTATACAATAATAATGTAGTGTGGGTTTTTTTAAACTAATATGGTATTTCTGGAAAGCAACATAATATTCCCGGAATGTGGTAATCACTCACTCTATTATTTGAAAATATATTTAGTAAAATGGGTGTAACATGAATATGTGAGAGTATATCAGGAAATTAATTTATTTCAATGTGTTGGGAGAAAAAATAATTAGAAGTCACCTGGAAAATTCCTAAAGGTAAGGTTTGTGCATTTGACAATATTACCAAATGAGAACATGCCCTAATACCCTTCTGCCAGAGATCAGAGAAATTTCCTAAAATGGGATCACAAAGGGTCAGCAATCTCACCAACTCCTCAGCTCAATGACAAGGTGTTTTGGAGATCTAAGGACTCCTATTTTAACTACATAATCCACCAATGACATCTTCCTTTGCTTCAAAGCTTTCCCAGGTGGCTTAGTTGTAAAGAATCCATCTGCTATTGTAGGAGATAGAGGAGACGGATTGTTTGCTCCCTGGCTTGGGAAGATCCCCTATAGGAGGAAATGGCAACTCACTCTATATTCTTGCTTGGAAAATCCCATGGACAGAGAAGCCTGGTGGGCTACAGTCCATGGGGTTACAAAGAGTAAGACATGACTGGCTGAGCACACACGCAAGCCTATCAAAGTTGCAACTCTTGCTGTAAATTATTCATTCTTGTGCTTCAGACTATTTCCTGCTCTTAAGCACCAAACAACACATATATTGTCTCATGTGACACTGAAGTATTTTCTTTGCCCTGTAAGTAGATAGAAGGCCTTAGTACTTTTAATCGTATTTTGCTTACAGATTTTTCTGCTAATCTGGTGGAGTCCTGTAAAATCAGGCATACACAGAGTATTTTGTATAGAGATTAGGGAACATTTTAAGTCTAACTGTAGTAGAGTCTGGCCAGTCACAGCCCTTAGCATGGGGCAATCTCTGGGCATGTTTACTCCATGCCTTCTTACCAAGCAAGGGTTACCGGGGACCATTAGTGTTCCTGCTCAGCCATTGGTCAGCGCTGCTGCGGGCTCCTCCCCCAAGCAACTAACTGTCAGTGAACAACCTTTAGTGAGGGCATTCGGCCAAAGGTTGGCAAAGTGGTGGTCATCAGGCTGAGAGTGAGGTAAGAGGCAGATCCCGACCTTCTCCCAAGGCCCTTTAGCTCATCCTGCCTTCGGCCAGAAGGTGACCTGGGAGGCCCAGGGAACAGGCTGTGCAGGGATCCAGGGCCACACATTGGACAGGACCAGGCCTTGAAGCAGCTGTGAAACTCTCCCCCACCCTCATCTCTGCAACCTGATAGCTGCAGCCTGTGGGACCTGGCTCTCTCCCTGCGCACAATTTGGGCCATCTGCGGAGCCTAAGGGTTGGCACCCAATGCCCTCAGCCATGACAGCTGAGCAGGGTCTGAGGACCTGGCCCTGAGGAAGCCAGCAACCGAGCTCTGCCTCCTCTTAGCCAGGACCAGGGCCTTTGGAGGGAAAGTTTGTGCCTTCAGACCTTGCTCTTTCTTTTTGGAAGAGACGATAACATTCCTTCTCTCCTTTGAGAAGAGATTTGTGAGAATATCAATACCTGAACTTTTTCCTGAGAGTCCACATGTCTCCTTTTAGCCCTGAAATTAGCTCATGAAAGAGGCTTTCATAAGTCATCAGTTCAGTCCAGTTGCTCAGTCGTGTCCAACTCTTTGCGACCCCATGGATTGCTGCAAGCCAAGCCTCCCTGTCCATCGCCAACTGCCAGAGTTTACTCAAACCCATGTCCATTGAGTCAGTGATGCCATCCAACCATCTCATCCTTTGTTGTTCCCTTCTCCTCCTGCCTTAAATCTTTCCCAACATCAGGGTCTTTTCTAATATGTCAGTTCTTCACATCAGGTGGCCAAAGTGTTGGAGTTTCAGCCTCAGCATCAGTCCTTCCAATGAATACTCAGGACTGATTTCCTTTAGGATGGACTGGTTAGATCTCCTAGCTGTGCAAGGGACTCTCAAGAGTCTTATCCAACACCACAGTTCAACAGCATCAATTCTTCGGCACTCAGCTTTCTTTAGGGTCCAACTCTGACATCTATACACGACTACTGGAAATACCATAGCTTTGACTAGATGGACATTTGTTGGCAAAGTAATGTCTCTGCTTTTTAATCTGTTGTCTAGGTTGGTCATAACTTTTCTTCCAAGGAGCAAGGGTCTTTTAATTTCATGGCTGCAATCACCATCTGCAGTGATTTTGGAGCCCAGAAAAAGAAGTCATAGTGGTGATTTAGTTGCTATGTCATGTCCAATTCTTTTGTGACTCCAGATACCATAGCCCGCCAGACTCCTCTGTCCATAGAATTATCCCAGACAGGAATGCTGTAGTCGGTTGACATTTCCTTCTCCAGGGGAGTTTCCCAACCCAAGGACTGAACCTACTTCTCCTGTGGCTCCTGTGGTGCAGGCAGTTTTCTTTTTTTTTAACCACTGTGCCACCAGGGAAAGGCTTCCCAGGTGATACCGTGGTAAAAAACTCACCTACCAATATAGATGCAAAAGATGTGGATTTAGTCCTTGGGTTGGGAATGGCATGAAGATTGAAATGGCAGCTGACTACAGTATTCTTGCTTGGGATAATCCCATGGACAGAGAAGCCTGGCAGGCTACAGTCCATGGGCTTCCCAAGAGTCAGACACAACGTGCTCATTCACTTTCATCATGTCTGGCTCTGTGATGCCATGGACTGTAACCACCAGGCTCCTCTTTCCATGGAATTCTCTGGGCAGGAATATTGGAATGGGTTTCCATGGCTTCCTGCAGAGAATCTTCCTGATCCAGGGAGCAAACCCACATCTCTTGCATCTCCTGCATTACAGGAAGATTCTTTACCCCTGAGCCACCAAGGAAGTCCCTACCTGATCATGACCTGACCTCAAGAACATAGGTTCTGACACCCAGAAGTTTGCTATAATTAACCATCCCCTCCCCCTTCCTCTTTCCTAGAAAAGGGTTTGCTGAAAGCTTTCTGGGAGCTTGGGCTTTTTAAGGCATGAAGCACCCATCTCCTTGTGTGGCTCTGCAATAAACCTTTCTCTGTTTCAAACCCTGACATTTTGGTGTTGCTCCTCTCTGTGCATTGGGAACAGGGACTTGCATTTTAGTAACATAACCTTGAAGCACAGACTAAGATTCTCTGCTTTAACCTTGTACCGAAAGTAATGTCTGCAGCTGTAGAAACACTCCTCATTCATGTTTGTCTTTCTTACACCTAGCCACTATCTGTGGTCTGGGGGCTAAAGCACTGGAGTATCCCCCTGTTGAAAAATAAGATATATACATATATTTGTTCCTGTGCCAATATCACCACCTCCCTCCCATGCACACACCTCTTTCTGGCAAGAAACTCTTGGAATCTCCAGAAGTGATGAGTCTTTTGGTATGTTAGGTGAAATGATTGATGGTTGAGGGCTCCCAGATGGCCTTGTCTTGGAAGCTGGTTGCCAGGGGAACAAATTACATGATTATAGTTTTGAAATTTTTAGTCCCAACAACTAAGTTCCAGACACAGGAGAGGGGTTGGAGGCTGAGTCATTCACTAATGATCAACTGTCTAATTTACTATGCCTATGTAATGAAGCCACCATTTAAAAATCCATGAAGTATGGAATTCAGAGAGCTCTCAGGTTGGTGAACATGTGGAGGTGTTGGGAGGGTACAAAGCTTGAAAAAGCCATACAAACTCTGTGCTCAGCCATTTTTGACTCTTCACAACCCCATGGGCCATAGCCCACCAGGCTCCTCTGTCCATGCGGATACTCCAGGCAAGAATACTGGAGTGGGTTTCCATGCCTTCCTCCAGGGAATCTTCCCAATCTGGGGACTGAACCCAGGTCTCCCATAGTGCAGGCAGATTCTTATCAACTGAGCCACCAGGAAAGCACTTAAAATGGTGCCCCCCATCTCAGACCATATGTCTGCATGGAAGTGCTGTGCTGTATGCTGGGAACATTACTAAAAGTGTTCATCTGTCAGAGATAACAT